GCATAGGTGGGGATTTTGGAAGGCATCATCAGTGGGTTAGTTAACATGAATGCATATCATCTAATTGTGGTGTTGAAAGGTCAAGCCTTTCAGGGCTAGTTGAGGCAGTGGCCGGGTGGCCTGGAAGGCTTTAACTCCATCCCTCCCCACTTGATCTCTCTTCGCTTCCTGCTTCCATGCCAGGAGGCCTTTCTGCTTCCGTACCCTTCTGTTGTGCCACCCTGCCTTGATACCCGGGGAATATGGACAAAAACTTCTCACAAACTGTGCACCAAAATAAACCTGTCTTCCATTAAATTGTGAGTGTCAGGTATTATGTTCCAGCCATGAAGAAAGTAACCAAGACATCAACCCATGGCTTTATTATCTTGAATTGAATGACTTAAACTTTAAGAAATACAATTTTGAGGAAGGCTATGGATCCTACAGTAAGATTAACCATTGTAGTTATGGAATAGAATTTCTAATGACAAGACTGAAAGTCATAGGATGGATATTCACCTAAAAAAAAATCTAAGAACCTGAGTTCTATGGAGCATCATAAGTGAATCATGGGGATCTTCTATGTAACTACATTGAATATGTATTATGTGAGAACTTGAAATGCCCACTACTAAGTATGACAGATAGTGTTAATTGGAGTCAACATAGCTTAATATTTATTGTGTTCCTGTCAAAGAAAAGGAAATTTTAAATATGTAAATTTAGGTTTGGATAGCAGGGTAATACTTGCTTTCAGGAATGAATTTCCCCTTTAAAATTCATTTAAGAGTTTGAAGAATTGTGGCAACATATCTTTTCTAAATTTCTTGCAGAATTAAGCAGTAAAGCCATCAGGACTAGGTTTTTCTTTGTTGGTAAGGTTTTAATTATATTTTCAATTTCATTGACTATTAGGTTATTTAGAATTTTTATATCTTCATGAGTCAACTGTAGTAATTCATATGTATCTAGGACACTTGTTTTCCGTCTAACAGATTTTTTAAGTAGGTATTCATGATCTTTTGGGTTTATGCAGGATCTGTTGTTATTTCACCCTTTTCTTTCCAATTGCATGAATTTGAGTCTTACTTTTTTTTTTTTTTTTTCAATCAGATTGGCTATGGGTTTATCAATGTTACTTAATCTTCCAAAGAATCAACTCTTTGATTCATTGATATTGAAACCAGAGAAGGATTCAACCATAAAAACACCACTACAGGACAATATTCCTCATGAACATAGATGAAAAGCTCCTCAACAAGTTACTGGCAAATAGAATACAGCAAACCATTAAGAAGATTATACACCATGACCAAGGAATGCAGGGATGATTTAACATATTTAAATTAATAATTGTAATATACCATATCAACATAGCCAAAGACAAAAATCATATGATCACCTGAATAGATATAGAAAGAGCATTTGTCAAAGTCTAGCATCCATTAATGATGCAATCCATACAGAAAATTGGAATTGATGACCTTTATCTCACCATGATAAAAGCCATCTATAACAAACCAACAGTCAACATCATGCTAAATGGTCAAAAACTGAACACTTTCACTCAAAAATCAGGAACAAGACATGGAGGTCCACTATCACTACTTCTGTTCAATAGTTCTGTAAATATTAACCAGATCAATTAGACAAGAGAAAAAAATTAATAAAGATAGGAAAATAAGCTAAATTATCATTATTTTCAGATGACATAATACTCTATATAGAAGCCCCCCAAAACTAGAACACTTCTAGATTTAAAAAGCAAATTCAGTAGTGTAGCTGTATGCAAAGTCAGTACTCAAAAGCCAGTTGTTTTTCTGTACCCTAATAATAAACTCATTGAGAGAGAAATTAGTGAAACAACACCTTTCACATTAGCATAAAAAAGAAATAGCACAACCAATCTAACAAACAAAATAAAAGATCTTTATATGGGCAATGACAGTTCTGAAAAATGAGATTAAAAGAATATCAGAATATGGAAAGTTATTCCTTATTCTTGGATAAGTGAAAATGGCTACACTCTGAAAATTGTTATTCTGAATTAAATCCCAATGAAATTACTATTAGCATACCTTGAAAAAGTAGAGAAAACATTCATCAAATTCATTTGGTTCCAGAAGATATCTAGAATAGCAAAAATAGTTCTGGGCAACAAAGCATGGTGGGGGTGTCACAATCCCTGACTTGAAATTATACTATAGAGCTACTGTGATAAAATAGCATGGTACTGGTAGTGGGGGGAAAAACAAGGATCAGTGGAACACATTCCAAGATGCAGAGAAAATTTCAAATGCACTCAGCCATCTGTCTTTGACAAAGGGGCTAAACACATTCACTGGAAGAAAGGTAGCCTCTTTAATAAATGGTGCTGGGAAAACTGGCTTTCCACATGCTGAAAACTAAAATTAGGTCCATGTCGCACATAATGCACCAAACTAAAATTGAAATGGATCAAAGATTGTAAATATAACAACAGAAACACTAAATATGCCAGAAGAGAAAATAGGTAGAACTCTTGAAAATGTGGATGTAGAAAAACTGCCTCATGAAAAAAACCTTAACCACACAGGAAATATTACGAAGAATCAACAACTAGGATCACATTTTTTAAAAAATCTTTTGCACATCAAAGTAAATCACCAAGAGTAAAGAGAATCTCACAAGGGAAAAAAAATGTTATCCAGCTGTTCCTTGGACAAAAGACTAATATCTAGAATACATAAAGAACTGGGGAAAAACATTGTATCCCTCAAATTTAAAAACCCAATCCAAAAATTGGCATCTGATAAAAAATATGTCTTGTATAAAGAAATACAAACAACAAATAAAGGCTGGGGAGATACCTTGGTGGTCTAAGTGACTGCCTGGCAAGCACAAGGACCCAGGTTCTATCCCAGTACCACATGCTGTGCTAGCCCGGTGCCAAGCTGGCCACTGAGACCGAGAGTGGTGGTCCACACCTGTAATCCCAGTGCTTGAGGCTGAGACAGGAGTACCACTACCAGTCCAAGCTGTGTGGCGAGATCCTGTACCACCAAATAAATAAATAAATAAATAAATGATTTAAAATATTAGACAACAACAAATAAATACATGAAAAGGTATTCAACATCACTGATCATTGGAGAGATGCAAAATGCCATAATACTGAAAATCCATATCACACTACTAAAAATGGCTATTGCCAAGAAGTCAATAATAACAAATGCTGGGGGGGCCGTAGGGGGGAAAGTAACCCTTCTGTTCTGCTGGTGGTAGTGTAAATATCAATGTGGAGATTTTCCAACAAACTAGGATTAGAAGTCCCATCTTACACAGCTATTCCCCTTCTTTGTATCTCACCAAAAGAATTAAAAACATCATGCAATATCATTATATGTACACCCATGTTTCCAGAGTCACAGTTTTTAATATGAAATTTTAGAAACAAACCAAATGCCCATCCTCCAAGGAATGAATAAAGAAGTTGTGCTTTTTCCAACATTTTGGCCCTACCCTTCTAAGGTCAATTAAGACTCAGGACATATGAGAACTTGTACTGTAACGTCATGTACCTCGGTAGTGTCCCAAATTTTCTGATCAAGAAGATAATGGGGCCAAAGAGGAAAGTGATTGATGACGTAGAGTGTGCCTAAGGAGAGTCACATGGGGAGAAGACACTCTCTCAGGCTTTCACAGAGAGCACATAGGCCAAGCATTGGCCGTGACTCATCCACATGGCTGACACTGACAAAGGTTCTACAATCTGAGGTACAGTATCTCAAGATAAATCCTGAGGGCATTTCACTGACCTTGTCAGACCCAAAAGCTACAACTCATGTTGCACAGGTCCTGCTTTACCTTGGTCTTAACCATCCAGTAGAAAAGTATGAAGATGAAATATAGGAAGTAAAGCCATGTTGTTATGTTGAGCTGTGGGGGACTCAGGTCAATAATTTCTGACATTGCCAGTTAAACAGAAGACCCAATGATATTATGGGCTTCTGTACTCTTTTAGAATATTTTGCTGAGTTTACACACCTATAATATTCAACAATGGAACTTAAATAAAAAAATTGGGGTATAACTATGAATGTCCATTTTGTATCTGTGTATTCAAAGTGGTTGGGATAGATATATAGTTGCATTGTCTTAATGAATAGAATGATTTTTTCTAATGATGTTTGTAAGTAGGATCACAAGTCTGCATCTTGTACAGCAATTAACCACTGAGAAGAATGTATGCAGTGTATTATTTGTTGAAACTGTACTTTCGATTTGATTTGAAACTGTCTCATTGCTATATGTTTATCAATAAAACTTTGAAAAGAAAAAAAAAGAAGTTGTGCTTTTTTATACAATGGAGTACTACTCAGCCATAAAGAAGGATAAACTTGAGACATTTCTAGCTAAATGAATGCATCTTCTTAAGTAAGATAAATTAGACATATGTGTTTAAATATGACATTGCTTTTCTGGTGTGATAAACTGTAAGTGTAAATAAGGACCACAGTCTATAACTGATATTATGAAAAAGGAAGGAATTGTTCAAAGTGGAAGAGAACTAGGTCAGGGATAAGGAGGAATGAAGGTAGAGGAAAGAAAAAAATGAGAAAAGAGGGATGAAATGGAAACAGACCTTTGTAAATAAAGACAACATGGGCTGAAGGGGGATGGGAATGGGGAAAAGAGGCATAAAGATCTATCATGCTCTGGTCCCAACCCCTATGATGGATGTGATCAACATGTATATAACTTGTACCAATCAACTTAATTTGAAAAATAAAAATGTAAACTCACATTTCCTCTTGCCGATAGTCTAATTCCCAGTGTGACTCTTTCCCATTCTTAGAATAAACAACTCCCAGGGTGACACCCACTATTATACCTGGGACTCCTTTGTGATAAAGAGAAGTACAGAATTAATAATTTATCCAGGACTGGGATTAATTATAAAAGACTGCAAATGAATTATACATCTGACCTTTTTCAGAATGCACTGTTCTTTCCACTATGGACAATAGACTGATCTGTTAATGTAGGGAACAGTAGACATAATCTTTTCCTGTTTTCCTTTTAAGTGTTGTCTCTACATACTAACACTATATTATTTCAGATTTCTTCATAATTTTTGCCACAATTTTTATTCTTAAGTATCTTAATTCCTCTGTCACTTGCAGTTTAAATTTCAATAACAAATTTTTGGAAACCAGAAAATATTTCAGATAATTCTTCTCTATGAATCATTATTTTCTTTCTGGAAACCTTTAAAGTTGGTAGAAATTTAATTATTTATGGTCTAGAACTCAAGTAGATAAAGTGATGTTTAGCATGTTTGTTTATTTGTTTTTTGAGATGGACCCTCATTATATATTTCAGGCAGGCAGGCCTTAAACTATGTCACTCCTCGTGTCTCAACTTCCTGAGTCCTGGGATTATAGGCATGGGCCATCATACCCAGTATTAATCTTTAATTTAGCTTAGGGCCAGGGAAATAGATCAGAAGCACCTATCTGGCAAGCACAAGTTCCTGAATTTGATCCCTGGCACAAAAAAAAATCAATTGAGGCAAGTGACATGTATGAGTAAATTGAAACATAGTGCTGCTGGTGTAGTTATTTGGTTACATCAATGTCAATAAAATAACACACTTAAATGGAATATGTAGGGCCGAGGAGATAGCTCAATGGTATGAGTGCCTGCCTGGCTAACATGAAGTCCTGAGTTCAAGCCCCAGTACTCCCCCTGCAAGAAAATTAGCCTATAATGTATTGAACATGCCTTTTCTTGATAATATCTGCCTGCTTCATTGGAGTTTAGGCTACTAGATAAAAAATATTCTTAAGGATTGTTCTGTTTTCTGCTCTCCTACCTTGACCTTGTATTGTTCAGCTTTCAACAGGTGTCTGTTTAAAAGATTGCCACAAATTAAATTTCTAAGTAAGTGAAAATGCAAACACTTACCCCATCCTACTAAGGTGAGAAGAAGGATGAAATGTTGAGGAAGAGGCTTCATGGTCCTAATTAGAAGGAAATAGAGCTGTATGGCACTGAGTCCATTCCACATAAAGGTCACTAACAAGAAGTAATGCAGAAAGGCAGCAGTTGCAGTGCATGCGGAATTCGGGATGTCAATGATGTCTGCTGTGGGCATTTCATTATTATCAAAGTCAACATTTATGTCACGATCACTTGTCGACAAGTCCTTATTGGAGTTTTCAATTCCAAACACAAAAAGAAGGTTGAAAATCAGCATTGATGTACACAGATTGACCAACACCCAGGTTACTGAGATTTTTCTGACTTTCCTGAAAATAAATAAGTAAATATTTATATTAAATAATGGCCAATATACTACAGAAAAGTAAATTCCCATGGAACTATGAGGAAGTGAAGGAGTATTACTACCCACTGCATAGCTAGCTCATATCCCAGTAGTAAGTTTCCTTTCCCTATCCCACTGTGCACTTCTTTTCATTCCCTTTACTAATAAAGTTATATTGAGTGCTATCTTCCATACTAAAAAAAAAAGAAAAGAAAAAGAAACAAATTGTTATATCCTTTTTTAAAGCTATGTTCTAGCCAAAAGAGACAGCTAATCTCCAAAGATGGTGCCAATGAATCCTAATTCCCAGCATTTATTCACTGTTTAGTCCCCTCCCAAGCCTGCCCTGTACCTTGATTTAGCTAATAGATTGCAACAGAAAGTATGACAGCAAGGAATGACTTGTCCATTTGTTACAGCAATGCTTAGGATCCACGATACTTTCATGGCACATAATAATTTTTTCTTTAAAACTAGAAGGAAAAATATGAACTTTAAGGTCAAAACTAATTTTTTTCCTTCTTTTTAATTTTTTGATCAATTTTGAATGCTTATATCTGGTAATCTGAACAACTAATATGCAGTTAGTTTGACTACAACAATATGGAATATAACAGCCATTGTTGAATTCCTTTCATTTTGTTTAGTGACAGTCTGTATTGCTTCTAATGGGTTTTTTGTACTATGTTTATGCTCTTCAGAACAAAATATTGATGTACCAATGCAGTCATACAATATAATTTTTAAGTTTTGTTTAATGAAAGAACCCCCACAAAGGCAAATGTCCCCCAGAACTGCCAAAAAAATCATAGTATGGGCCCTCTGATAGTTTTTCTGTTGTGATCTTTGGGTTCCTTTCTTTCTTTCTTTCTTTCTTTCTTTCTTTCTTTCTTTCTTTCTTTCTTTTTCTTTTTCTTTCTTCTTTCTTTCTCTTTCTTTTTTTTTCTTTTTGATGGTACTAGCGATTGAACTCAGGACTGATCTTTGGGTTTCTAAGTGACCACAAAATTTCTAGTCATTTTGCTAAAGAAAGCATGTGGAAGGCTCTGAGTACATAACGAGGAAAAAAGCACTCGTTATCTAGATAACCGGGGCATCAACCACGTTCTGCCTGCACTTCCTTAGAAGACCCAACAAAACCAGCAGATACATCAACAAGCTGAAACAAGTCAACCCATAGAATCATCAGACAAAATAAACTGTCGTTCAAGGCCACCAAGTTTTAGGAATTTACACACATATATGAGGCTTTTTGTAGAAAAGACTGTAAATGGAGTTACTATACTTTAATAGATAAATCCATGCTTGAATGCAGGAAAATTCAGATTTTTGCCATGGTATTTTTAAATCTCACTTGTAATTTTTTAAAAATGTCAAATACAATTTTAAATAATTTTATATAACAACATAATATATTTTAAAATAATCTAATGCTTAGCTTATATTACATTCAAAGAGTAAGACTAGGGCTGGTGAGATAGCTCAGTGGTCTAAAGTGCCTGCGTAGGCAAGCTTAGGCAGGCGAAGGGGACCACGGTTTGATCCCCAGCACCACATGCCATGCCAGCTCCACCCTCAGAGCAGACTGAGCCGGCCAATAAATAAATAAATAAATAAATAAATAAATAAAAAGACTAAATTGGATGAACTATTTATTTTATGTCCTATTGCTACTGGTCATAAAATGCTTTTCTTTATAATTTGAGTAGACATTATTACTATCTATTTCATTAACATATATAATAAAGTTCCATGTATCTCTTTTTGGCATCCTCAGAACCCTCTTTCAATCAAGTACAGTATTTCCAAGGGACTAATGTCTCAAGGACTACACTTTGGGTATTTTTTACAATTTTTTCAAATGGCCAAGATGTTCTGAATGTTTCTGGGACTGTTTAATGTAATATATGCCCAAGGACTGTTCCTTCATTTGAAGGTATAATTTCAGTGCAGAACTAAGTGTGCTTTAAAACTATCTGTTTTTCCTCACGTATATACCTAATATCTTTACTCTAAAAGAATGTCTTAAGTTTTGTGTGTAGGATGGTAAACAAGGCAGTGTGTGTGTATGTGTTTGTGTGTGTGTGTGAGAGAGAGAGAGAGAGAGAGAGAGAGAGAGAGAGAGAGAGAGAGAGAGATCCTGAGTTTTGAATGCAGGTCCTTGGCATTCCATTCGTGCCCAACAATTATTTTATATATATTTTGTTTTAGATAGGGTCTTACTAAGTTGTTCAGGCAGGCCTTGAATTCCTGTTTCCTCCTCTCACAGGCTTCCAGTGTGCTGAGATTACAAAAGCCTAGCTCAGACAGAGCTTTAGTAATACCTAAGTGTTGTGCTCAATCCTGGGGATTCAGTGATTAAATCAAAGCAACAGTGACAATAAAATCAGAGACGGTCATTGCCATCATAAATTTTTATGTTGGTGGGGAAAATAGACCCTAAGCAAATAAACTAATAAATGAACAGTTTGGGGCCAGCGAGATGCCTTAGCAGTCTAAAGCACCAGCTTAGGCAAGCTCAGGGACCATGGTTCAATCCCTAGCACCACATGCCATGCCGGCCCCACCCCCAGAGAGAACTGAGCTGACCACACACAAAAAAAGAAATAAAATATATTAATTAATTAATTAATTAACAGTTTTCAAGACCATATAGAGTCAAGATGTCAAGATGTAGCATGGGACAAGAAATAACAAGTGGGGTATAAAATTTGAACTTGAGTGATAGCGTTAAAGAAGAGATATGTATGTTCATAGGTCTTTTTAATATTAGGTTTAAAACCAAAGCCTATTAAATTAAGAAACTTCAGCAAGTTTCATTGCTTGAAAACAGTTTGTACAATTATTGAAACATTTGTACAATTATCTGAAGCAATTTTAAAAATGTGCTCATTAGCAACATTACTTTCTTTTGCAATGCAAAAGGTACACTTCTCTTCAACACTAGTTTTGAAATTTATGGGTTATGAGACGACATTCATCATACTTGAAAAACTTGTAATTAAGTGTAATGTAATTTTATTTCAAGGCACTTGCCATTGTTTTAAATTATATATTTATCCAAGTATTCCCTTAGCTTCATGAGGCTTGAATGTCCACGTCTGTGAAATAAGCATGTTTAACCCAATTCCCTTCTTTTTCAGACATTATGTTCTGATGAGACTATGCCCAGAATAGAATGTATCAGGGTAACAACTTCTCTTATGACAAGTATTTCTCTCTCTCCTCTTACCGGGTGACAATCTGAAATATGCTTGTGAGAGCCAGTCCAGCAATAGATAGTGCACACCCAACATTGGATAATACATCTAAAGACTCAGGATACTGATAATTCTTTTTGAAAGTCTGAAAAATAAGTTGATTCGTATTATTAAATAAAATATCAATGATAGTTCACATCACAATGAATTATACTGGACCAAATAATTACAGTTGCCAGTTATGTCTTCCAGGCATGTCTGCCAGACATATACAGCTTTTGATACATTTATAAATAAAATTAACCCATTATCTCTAAAGTACATTTACACTAAGAAGGAAATTTGAAAACCATTATCTAGCCAATTCAGTTAGAAAGCATATTTTTTCCTTCATGTCTAAAATCAAAGGGCTTGCAGGTTAGCTCAGTTGTTTAAGTACCTGCTCAGGCAAACCAGTCAGACTCAGGGGACCGCAGTTCAATCCTCAACTCCACATGCATTACCCGACCCACCCTTGAGGCAGCCTAAGCCAGCCAAAAAATAAAATAAAATAAAATCCTACTCAACTTTTAGGGCCAGCCAAATAGCTCAGTAGATTAAAGCACCTGCAAGCAGGCTCAGAGGCCAGAGGCGTTTGATCCCCAGGCCTTCTGTGCCAGTCCTGCCCCGAGGGCACACTGAGACAGCAATTGAGACTGGGCATGGGAGTGTGTGCCTATAATTCCAGCTCTTGGGAAGCTGTAAATAGGCAGATCACTAGAGTCTGGTCTAGTAGTGAGACCCTGAACACCCTGTAAACCCTTCCCTAAAAATCAAAATAACAAATAAATAAATATAAAATCAAAGTTATTTGGCTTACAGTTACTTACTCATTATACTATGTGTCACTATAATCCAAGCACATCTAAACAGATGTATTAAAGTTGCACAAATACTATTATGAACATGAAAAGATTTTAATATTCTGTTACTTTTTTGGGAATTTTCCATTCTTGTGTAATACATTAGTATCGATCACAGCACATTGGTAAATATGTATACATGCCAATGAGTACATACAAAGAAATATGGAAAGGCAGTAATGATGCTCACATAGTACCTAATTTTTTGCTTATATGTATTTTCTTATCTTTTAAAATACTTGACATGAAAACAGCAATGCACACTCATTTGTAACATGTGAGAGAAATACAGAAACAAAATAGAAACCCTATGCTCCTCTCTACTGCCCGCTACCTCCCATCATGCGCTCCCTCTCAAAACCCTACCTTATGTACACAGCTTTTCAGCACAAATATTAGATAAGCACCTTGTACAGAAATACAGAGATTAATACCACTGACTTATGCTTGAATTACTATTTTAACTTACTGTATACATTTTCCTGTATTGGTATAATTCTATTTACTAAGTAAACATTTATACTTCATGCAATAAATTTGCATTACTTTTATGGGGATAAAATAAAATAACTTGATTTGAAAAACATAGATGTTTATGTTGTTGGTGTGCATTTTACTAAGTAGACGCACAAAGAGTTGTAGACTACAATAGATCTTTAATTCTTAGACATCTTTTTTAATTTATTTTTTTATTTTTTTCTTAGCTATCTTCTACTCAGAGTCTATCCAGTATAATCTCACACTAGGCTATAATTTCACTAATCATTTAAATAAATTAGAAATCCTAAACTAATTACAAATATGGGTAGATAGACACCATGGCAAACTCAGTTACTAACTGAGAAGAAATAGCTGAAGTGTGATCTGAAAAAAGGTAAAAGAAAAATATGCCAAAATATTCTATATCATTTAGCATCTATAATAGTCTGATCTTTATAGAGTTAATCAATGATAATATTGTTTTGTGATATGAAAAAAATTAAAATTTCTCTGAAATTTTGAAGTAAGAGAATTGTAACTTCAGGTCCAGCCTGGACAACTTAGTGATTTAATAAGACCTTGTCTCAAAATCAAAACATTTTTAAAAGGCTAAGGATGTAGCATTGCAATTTCTAGAACCAAAAAAGTTAAAATTTTACTATAAGGTGTGATAAGTAAAATGAAAAAAAAAACTATAGTTGCCTATAGTTACCTCAAAAAACTCAACGCAAAATTCTATTTTTTGATACTCTATGCTGTATTAGTGAGCTCCATCCTAAACAAGGCTGTATCACAGCCACTGGGAATGAAAGTACCTGTTTGTTCTTAGAGATCAATAGCCCTTAATGAGGGGAAGATAACATATCTACATTTCCATTTCATTGCATATTGAAATGTTTTATTAACTACACAAGCTAATATTTTTGTTAGTTCCTAGAAAGAGAGCATGCAGAAGTCCCACAGTTTAAAGACTCAGTGCAGGAATTTTCAGAGATGCCCAGGCACCTGAACTCCAGGGTTCTCAGTTACTCCATAGAGGAATTTTGGAGTTAAGAGGATTAAGGACTTATACAGGAGCTATAAGAAAATATTAGTGATTTTAAGACCTATTTCTTTTATCTTTTAGCAAAGTTTATTAAATTCTTGTTATGGTTTATAACTAGATGTATTCCTAATGCTTGATGAAATCCTTGGTGGGACCTTTGGATTGGATTATGGGGGCTAACTTAGGGTTAGTTCTCTCTGTTTCCCAGCAACCAGCCATGAGCAGCTTTCCTTAACTGCACGACTTTGCCACACTGCCTTGCCTTGGAGCCAACTGACATGGACTGAAACCTCTACAGACTGACAGCCAGTGAACTTTTTCTCCTCTCAGTTACAGGTTGAGTATTATGTCCCATTGGTATGACACTTCTAATAAAACCTTTTTCCAACTCCAGTGGAAAAAGCTTTGGGTGACTAATTTAAACTGTCCATACTTGGCTGTGTATGGAAACCATATCCAACACATAACTCTGCCTTATCTGACTATAACAATTTAAGGCTTAAGAATATAAAAGTTAGTGGAGCTGACAGTCTGTCAGCTCCTCTTTCACTCTTTCCACTGCTGTATTGAATTCAACCATCCTTGGGCCATATTGGAACAAAACAAAAGAAAGAGAAAAAAATGAAAAACCTCTATGCTACTTTCCTTTACCAAGTACTTTCCTATTGCTCCATTTTCTAATTTTCCTGTTTAATATGAGTCTAAAATCTATATAAATTCCATAGTTATATGTAGTTAACACACACAAAATTTGCATACAAGGAAAATTCCTGCCTGTAAAGAGACTACTATGCATATTCTTACCATTAATACAGCGAAATTCGTAGTATGGTTGCAGTGGCAGCCCAGGAATCCATCAGTGGTCCTGTCTTTGTGACAGCCATATGTGTCCCAATCTTTTCTTAAAAAATTCCAGTAGACACAGGCATAGGAATTGAATTGAAACTCTTTTTGGTTATACTGTGAATTGATAAGACAATTAAAATTACTAATATTTAATGCTAAACTGGTTAGAAAGAAATCTAATAGGATCAGATAGTCAAAGAGGAATAAATTATATTAAATATATGCTGAGCAATAATATCTTTATTATAGATTGAGAGGAAAAGTTTACAAAATTAAAGTAACCTCATACTTAGTTCAACAAATGCCATAGGTAGTAGAAAGATTTGAGTGGGTACTTTAAAGAACCTTTCAAAGAGATTATCTTTTTATTTCTCTTACCAAAATTAGTACTGCTTCTGTAATGAAGCATGACCTGAACTTTTTATTTCTGTTAATAAAAAACTTACCTCTGGACTAAAGACCATTTTAACAGAAGCACTCAGATCTTGCTCATTTCCATCCACTTTGCTTGAGATAATTTTTTGACTAAAATGTGACCTACTTGTGAAAATTTTTGATTGAAAAAGCTTGTTGTTTTGGTATACAACAAAGCCACATGCAGTGTTATCTGTGGAGAAGACAGTAAAATTAATAAGTAAACCTTAAGGTAAACAATAAACCAAGTTCCATCTCATTGTTGAACTACATGACTGCTTAATATTTTAGCAAAGTACCTCAGAATGGTCTTCTGGATAAACCTTTACGTCATTGCCGTGTGTTTCCTGATATTATGCCTAGTTTGGCTGTCCTCCATAACTCATTTCTCCCTATACTCAAAGAGCCTGGATGACTAGAATTTCTCTTTCCAGCTAGAAGAAACTCAAATCTTCCACTAACTTTCTACTTTGGACATGGCTAGCAACACAGACTTGCCTGATATGATGGATCTTTGGACCCCAAAGAATGCTGCACAAAGGCCCAAGAAGAATGTGAGCATGCAGTCCTTTCTGCCTTTGCCACTGTAGTCTGTTAGTATTAGACTCTACTCTCTGTTCAAACACATTTATACCAAGTTGCACACACTTCATGTGGGGCCATGCTATGAAGTTTCTAAAAAACCCCAAAAGGTCAAGATCCTGATATCTTAGCAGTAGCTGAATGTGTGGAGCTTCCTGGAGGACAATGAGCCCCCAAAAGTCACAGGAACCCCTTATCCCTCCACTCATACGTTACTCTGTATCTCTTCATCTGTGTCTTCTTTAATAAACAAGGAAACATGTCTCTGAGTTCTGTAAGCTGCTCAAACAAATTAATGGAAGCCAAGATGGCAATTATAAGAACCTTGAGTTACAACTTGTTGTTCATCAGAAGCACAGGTAAAGTAATCTGGGGTCTGCAACTAGTGTCACAGGAATGGAGGGGACAGTCTTGGGAGCTATCTCCAGGTAGTGTCAGAATTGAATTAAATGAGGGGACAGTCAAATGGTGTCTATTGCAAAAGTGATTGTTTCATGTATAGGGAAAGCCTTCACATACCTGATGTAAAAGTGATCCATATTATGAGACTATAATAGGAGAAACTAACTCTCAGTTGTTTTGTACTGTGTCTTCAAATTGATTAACATATATAACCTATGCTTAACTATTTTAATCAAATTAATTTTATTCTGAGGTGCAGTTTCTATACCTTCTATGTGGAAACAATATTTTCTGCCTAATACACCTTAGGGAGGTATTTGGAATATCTCATGTGTAAAGTAAACATCTGCCTTCTATGCAGTAGGACAGAATAAACATGAAGCAAATTCCCAAGCTCTGTTGCTTCCCCGACTTGTATTACAAGGACCAGGAAGCAGCAACAGGTGACAATCAAGATGGCTGTGCTGACTGAGGGGCCCTATAAGGTTTGCCTTCTGTTGAAAGGGACTCGGAAGGGACCAGTGGGGTTAAGTCACAGAGCAAGGAGCGCACATGGTTCTTTGGATGGAATTTTACTATCACTGCTATGTCATAGCAAACAGGAGCTTATCCCAGGGCCACATGACTATTATGAAGAATCTCTTGGCCAGTTGCTAGCCAAAGATGCTAGGAAATCCTGACCAACTGAGGTGGTGGGTAGCTGCACTGGGCCTGGCCTTGGCATTAGTCAGATAGAACCAGCTGATTAATGACTTCTACCTCTACTTTTTAAAAAATAGGAGCCACATGAAAAATGGCAGAAGAAAAAAACAATTGCCTGCACCCTGCTGCTTTTTACATGTGGCATGAGAAAACCATGGATTGTTAGGATAGCCTACTGTATCCTGTGATTCAAGAAAGTTCCAGGTCAGAGAGCTCAGGCCGGTTCCCCCGTGTGGTCCTGCACCTGCAGTGTTGTAGCCTCCACTTGGAAAAAAAAAAAAGGATGAGTTTCTGGCTTTTTCATAGCACACTGATCTCACTAAATTGCTCCTCCTGAACACTGGATAAAAAAAACCCTCAAAATACAATAAGACTTCATTCTATCCTCTTTAGTTTAAAAAAAAAATGCTTAAAGTAAAATTCAGTTCTGTACACACATACAGAGTTTTTAAAAATGAGAGGAACTGATTGTTCTCAATCTACAGTATGTGGGTCATTTATCAGAAGATTATCATTTGCATTAAGTAGATTGATTAGAACAATTATATTTACTGTTATCTCATAATTCTAAAAAAGCTTCATACTTTTAGATATTCTTTGTCATGATTTTTATTTCTTGGTTAACTTTGCCAGAAACTTTTTTGCTTCTTCAGTCTTTTCATAAAATTTAGTTTCAGTTTTCTTGGCTAAGTGTAGCATTTGTTAATTTCTATTCTTATTCATGCATATACTCATATTCATTAATTCCTTCCTTTTGGCTTTCTTTGCATTTATTTCATTTTTATGCTTCTTCAGCTGAATAGTTAGATCTTTTATCTAATTCATTTTCTTATAAGTTTATCAAAGAATACATATTTTCCTTTTAATATCTTTGTCTACACCCCATAGTTTTTTGCTATGTAGGTGTTCTCCTTGCCATTTATTTTCCAGAATCTGTAACCTGTGCTTTAATTTTCTCTCTAAAATGTTTTTTCCAGGAGTTGTAGCACATGCCTGTAATCTTAGCACTTTGGAGGCTGAGGCAGGAGGATCGCTGTGAGTTTGAGGCCAGCCTAGGCTACCAAGTGAGTTCAACACCAGCATAAAAAAAAGAAAAGAAAAGAAGGCCAGCTTGAAATGCATAGTGAAAACTTGTCTCAAAAAGATAATAAAAAGTGTTAAAATTTCTAACTGGATAAAAATATTGCTGTTATTTTATAGTACATTTCTAATTTACTGCACTGTGGTCTCAGGAGCTGTGTATATTATAACTTTTATTATACAAAACATATCAAAATTTCTTTGTAGACTGATAAGTATCAGTTTTTAAAGTATTTTTACAGATATTTAAAAGAAATTTTTATCATAGGCTTTTAATCTACAAATAAAATTATACACACATATAGATCAAGTTTATTAGTCTTTCTGCGTACTTGAGCTTCAGTTTCTAAAACCGTGAACTAGAGTTTTTCCTAATGATAGCGTTTTGCTCCCTCTAGTTTCTATAGTTTTTGCTTACACATTTCAATATTCCCAAATTAAATACAGATATTTTTGCAGACCAGTATTTTCAACAATATAATAATATGGTTAGGATGGTTGGAAGTGGTGATTCAGAAAATGTTAATATGAAATATCAATTCTGTTATAAAACATGGTGCCTACAATTCTGCAGTACAATATGTTGGTTTCAGTTAGTAACAATATACTATGTTCTTAAAAATGCTAAGAGAGTGGAAAGTGGAGTTCTCACCACAAATGCAATAACTAGGTGAGGTAATATATATATGACATAAATATTATATTTCTATAAATATATATCACTTATTTAGATTTAATCATTTTGCATAATATATGCAATACAAACATGCTGTACACAATAATACATAAAACTTTATTTGTAAATTTTTTAAATCCAAGCCTATATCTTTTTAGTAGTTATGACCCATTCAATTATATTAAACTACTTATATGGAATAAAAATTAGACTCCTGCTTTTTACTAAACACAAAAACAAACTCTAGGTGCAGTGAAAATGTAAATAATAATATAAACACTAAAAAATTTCAAGAGAAAACAAGATGTTATACTGGTGTCTTTAGCATAGTAAAAAACTGTAGAAGAAAGTTGATGCATTTGATATACTATAAATAAAAATTTTGGTATGGCCAAAGACATAATAAACTAAAGAACTAATAGCTACAGGGTGGAGGTAAGATATCTATAACTTATATAAGTAACACTTAAGGAACGCTTATATCCAGAACGCTTAAGGAATTCTTAATGACCAAAAAAGTGAAGAAGAGACAAACCCAAGAGAAAAATGATTAGAATACTTGAATAGAAAAGCCACAAAATAGGAAAACTGAAAGTGTAACACATATGTAGAGAGTTACTCAAAATAGAGGGGAAAATCTACCAGTAACTTAGTACTAAATTTCAGAACTGCAAAAGAAAATAACAGTACAGTATCTCTCGCATGCTTATTACAAAAAAAGATGAATTACACACATGGATGAGAGTCTAAAGTAGGATATTAGGATTTAAAAAGCAATTTCTATATATCAAGACACTATGTATATATTTAAAACATGTCCAATAATAGCATATATTGTTTATGGACATATGAATATGAAGCATAAGTTTGAAAACAAAGATAAAAATGATACATATCACTTTTAAGAAAAATATAATTTCTGGGAGGGAAGGATAAAAAGAAAGAAAAGTAATACTTTTTTCCTTTTTCTTTTTTTCTTTTCCTTCTAAATCAAATACAATAGGTCCTCTACATTCATGGGTTTCATATCCTTAGATTTGACCAACTATGGACTAAAAACATTTTTAAAAATTGGCTCTATACTGAACATGTACAAGATTTTTTTCTTATGATTAACTGCCAAATGATATGGAGTAACAACCACTTTTATAGCTTTTATATTACACTGGGTATTATAAGTAATTTACAGATGATATAAATTATGTAGAAGGATGTGTGTATTAAAATAGTATACCATTTTATATAAGGGAATTGATCACCACTGGATTTTGGTGTTCTTGGGGGGTCCTAGAGCCAAGCACTCATGTATACTGAGGTCTGACTTTATCACAAAATTTTGACATACTTTACCTCATGGTTAAGTACATAGGTGCTGCTGACTTTTATTCTCTACACTTTTCTATATGTATAAAATATTTTAAGTTGAATAGAAATTAGAACATAAAGGACTTATGTTTAGTTTCTAACCTCACAAAGTATGTGGCTGAACTTAACAGGTGGAAAATTCTATTTTATGTGATATTAATGAATAATTACTCTCATTTTTTAGTGTAACGGAATTTATTCTAAAACATGTATTTTGAGGCATTTTTTAAACTTTTGGAGAAAAATGCAAATATGTGCTATATGTTTTAGTTTATTCACTTTTCTAAAACTTGATAAATAAAACTTCAAAAATCACACAGGAATTCTTTAAAAGTCTCATAAAAGAGAGTCCAGAGAAGGTGACATATAGAGAAAATAGGCTAAAGTTGATATTATTAAATGACAGCTCTGCCAATTACATAAACTGTTTCAAGGGTAGGTAAGCAGGATGAATTTGAGCCCAAGAGTATTTTAGTGAATATGGGCAAAGGTTGTGAATGAATGTTTTTAATATATATAAGAGTAAAACAAGAGCCAGCCAAATAGCTCGATGGATTAAAGCGCCTGCAAGCAGGCACAGGGACCCAGGGTTTGATCCCTTGGGCTGCCATTGCTGGCCCTGCCCCCAGGGACATGCTGAGATAGCACTTGAGACTGGGCATGGTGGTGTGTGCCTGTAATCCTAGCTCTTGGGAGGCTGTAAACCCTGAATCACTACAAGTCCAATTTAGTAGTGAGACTCTGAACATCCTGTAGACTCTTCCCTAAAAAAAAAAAAAAAAAAAAAAAAAAGTAAAAACTCCTTCAGCAAATTTTTGTAGGAATATAAATTTGTATGTATAGTCTAAGTATTTCAATTCTTTCACTTCACAAAATTTTTTTTAAAAATGAAAGAAAAAGAAGGAGAAAGGAAAAAGAAAGAGAAATCATTTTTATGTCCTAGAATAGTAGAATTGAGAGTACTATATCTGAGCCAAAACACACTCAAATTAAACTTTTAGGTAAGAAAGAGAGAGAGAGAGAGAGAGAGAGAGAGAGAGAGAGAGAGAGAGAGAGAGAGAGA